ACAGGCCAGGAGCATATGTGCTCTGAAACCATGTGAAAATGAACGAGAATGAATGCAGTATGAAAGAGTTGGGTACAAGTACTAACCCTAATTAGGTTGTACCCCATATAGGCTACCTCACTACAGCCTACACAAAAGCATAAGCTATAATGTTATGACAGGGTAACGCGGTAACAGTAGTCGGAATGGTGGGCCCGAAAAAAAATTGGTCCTACGGACCTACTGCTCTTAATACCATGTCAAGAATAGAAGCTAGAATGACTTGAACTATGAGAGAGTTGGGTACAAATAGAAACCCTAAAGGGGTTGCACCCCATAGTGGCTACCCCACTGCAGCCTACACATTATAATAGCACAGATTTAGTTTGACATGGTGCACTGTAGCGCGCAAGAAACGTCGTCAGTTGTGTGCTCGCGCTAATGCCGAAGTGTTGCCTGCAGTCAATGTAGCGCCCCTTGATGAAGACCAGTGTCCGCTGTAGCTGGGAGTGAACTGTCGTCAAGTCAACTTATGGTCGCCGCAGTGGCGCGGGGAGGATACAATTAACAACAACATCAAGATTGAAATTTTATATATTGGAAGTATAACAGCAATTAACAATATAATAAATATTGAAATATTATATGTTGGATGTATAAGTTCATTACCTCGCGCCTCTGGAAGAGGAGTTTCAGTGTCTTCAGCTCAACGTGCACATCCGCCCAGAAGTACACAAAGAAGTTGAACTTGAGCGAGGTAAGCACGTGGTAGTTCTTCGGGTCTAGCTCCTCTAGAAGGACCACCACCGCCGGTAGAACCTTCATCAAACGAGCAATCGCGTTGCTGCGACTTAACCACCGTATCGGGTGGATGCCTTGCAGCTCCAAGTTTGTCAGAATGAAGTTGGCTTGCAGCTCCTTGAAGATCGTGTGCGAATTGCTGGAGCGGCCGAGATGCTCCGCCGTTGCATGGATGATGGCGTCGACCATGCCGAGTTCTGGGAGCGCGTTTGCAGAATCTCTGGCGGCAAGTGCTTCTCTACGAGACATAAACAAAAACGGAAGGATAAAAAAAAAGTCAAGCATGTTAGTAAAGACACAAAAGGACTCACCGGTGGGCGATGCAGTGGCACGAAACAAGATGCTGGTTGGAGAGCTGAATTCGCCCGACTAGCCCGTTGGTTCCACCAAGCATCAGTGGAGTTTCGTCTGTGCTAATTCCCGAAACCTTGTTGATGTTGAGGCTGATGCTGCTGAGGTACCCTCCCGAAGTTGGTTCCTGCGCCTCCATACTCCATGCACACCATACACTTCATGGAAGAAAATCCATAAGTCTGACAAATAATCACCCACAAAAAGTCAGTAGTCCATTTCTTGAACACAAGTGACGCTTCCCGGTAATTGTTCTCTACGATGTCTGGAAGTTCGGTATTTGACGAATCAGCTGGGGCGGATTCGACAAGAAGAGTCAGTTCGGTGGGTTGGGCCTGATCTTGCCTGGAGTTTGACGGAGCAGCAGGGCTGTCTGACGAACGAACGAACGTCAGTTTGGTCTGGTGGTAACGGTGCAAAGAAACTTTCTTGCTTGGGGGTCCTTTCCGGGTAGTCACTTGCACGGTAGCTTTAGAGCATTCACCTGTCGTACAAATTGGCGGTGGGAGGGGACTGTCGTTGACCACGATTGCTGCAGGTGTTGCAGGAGACTGTGGAGTTGGTTGTGAAGGCGATGGAAGGGGATTGTTTTCGATGACAACTTCTGTTGGTGTTGCAGGAGACTATTGGCGGTGGTTGTAACAGCCTACTGCGCGGAAAATCAAGACCCGTCAGGCCTACGGGCCGGCCTGTGGAGTCTGGCATGGCGGGGCTTCACCATCAGCAGTCAGCAATGGCTCAGAATGCATTTTTGAGTTACGATGACGAGGAGCTAGTAAATTTACGGGGAAAGACGAGGAGTAGCAATGAATCAATGTGAGAATCTAGGATCGAGCTTAGAAAAGAGAATGTGAATTGAATTGAATCACCTGGGTACAACACGAGGCTATATATAGGCTCGACACAAGGCCCCGTAACCAGGTGTTACGCGAAGGTTCCGCGGGCCGCGTAGCGTCCCAAACAGATCCTTACCGAATTCGGTAGAAGGCAATTCGGTGGCAACTGAAAAGCCAGAATTCGGTGCACGCAACCTAGCTCGGTGCACGCAACCTAGCTCGGTGCTATAACTATAATAAAATATAGGAAAGCACCTAGCCTAGGAAATCAAGCAATTCATGCATGCATATAATTATCCTATGCTAGAAATAGCATGATAAATTAAAGGCAAGCAAGCATAGCTGGCATAAGCCGTCGTACTCTCACACGTCCCCCCCTCAAAGCTGGGTGGCGTGAGATACACCCTGTTTGACAAGATATTCCTTGAGAGCACGGCGTGCGTTGCCCATATCAGCTTCTGCAACCCAAATATCCTCAGTGGGGTCGTATCCCTTCCAGCGTATCAGGAACTCGAGGGCCTTGCCGCTGCGGTGCCGATGAGTGAGAACGCGCTCGATCTCGTACTCGGGTTCATCCTGTATGCGAAGAGGTGGTGGTGGCGGTAGTTGCCGTCCCTGTAATTGTTGGTTGGGGTCCTTCTAGGGCTTTAGTAGCTGGACATGGAAAGCATTGTGAAGCTTCCATGTATCTGGTAAGCGCAAGCGGAATGTAACTGGTGTCACCTGTGCCTCCACCAGAAACGGACCACAGAAGCGAGGCCGGAGTTTGGATGGGAGATGAGACAGGTTCAAGTTGCGTGTGTCAAGAAGCACCTGATCTCCGACAGCTACTGAGTGATCTCGTCGCTGACGATTGGCATACTGCTTCTGGGAGTTCTGCATCGTGGTGAGTCGTCGCTGAGTCTTCTCCCATAGGTGCTGCATGGTGGTGACGAAGTCATGTGCGGCTTGGACGTGTGCCGGTGTAGTTGGCTGCTGTGGGGTGAGTGGTTCCCGTCCGTAACACAGGAAGAAAGGAGTTTTCCTTGTGGCCGCATGTGACGCGTTGTTGTAAGCGAACTCTAGGGTCGGTAACTGTGTATCCCAATTGTTGACGTCGTCCTTGCAAGCTGTGCGTAGTAACTGTTCAACCACTTGATTGAGTCGCTCTGTCTGTCCGTCAGTCTGGGGGTGGTATGCTGAAGACATTGCAAGCTTTGTCCCCAACAGTCCCATGAGCTCCTTCCAGAACTTACTGGTGAATTTGGGGTCTCTGTCTGAGATGAGTGTAGCGGGGATGTCGTGGATGGTGATGATGCGGTCGAAGAAGAGGCGAGCAGTTGCTTCAGCTGTAGCTGTGGCGTTGGTCGGTATGAAGTGACCCATTTTGGAGAACTTGTCGATCACCACGAGTATAGCGTCATGCCCTCGTGAAGTCGAAGGAAGTCCCGTGATGAAGTCGAGGCTAACGACCTGCCATGGCTGCTCCGGTACGGGTAGAGGCTGAAGTAACCCTGCTTTTTTCTGCTTGCTACTCTTCATCCGCTGGCACGTGTCGCAAGAGGTGACGAACTGCTGCACGTCTGCTGCCATCCCGGGCCAGTAGTAATACTTCGCTATCCTTGCTAACGTCTTGTTGCTCCCGAAATGTCCCGCGTAAGATACGTCGTGAAATTCCTCCAATAGGATCTGCCGTAGCGGGGCGTAATTCGGTACCCAAATCTTTCCTGATCCCTTTCTTACAGCTAAGTCCTTCTTCCACTGTAACAGCTTCTTACTAAGGTAGGCGATGAGCTGCAAACTGCGTTCATGATGCTGCATCAGTATTGCTCCGACTGCTTGGTCACTAGCGTCTGCTTCCACCACGTAGTATCTGTCTGGATCCGGTAGGATGAGTACTGGCGCTGTAGTCAGTGCTGTCTGTTTGTTCAGTGCACGGTAGTCGATGCACATCCGTAAACTACCGTCTGGCTTTGGAGTGAGGAGAACTGGTGCAGCGTAGGGAGAGGTGGATGGGCGGATCAGTTGTCTGTCCAGAAGATACTCTATCTGTTTTTTCATGTCTGTCAATTCAGTCGGACTAAGTTGGTATGGTGCACGTGAGACGGGTTTCGCACCTGGTTCCTCCACGATCTCGTGCTCGTGGGTGCGTGCTGGAGGTACGTCTGCGGGTAGGTCATCAGGCATTATATCCTTGTACTGCTCCAACACCTCCTTTACTGCTGCACGTAGCTCCGAACTCGGCTTCTCCTCCTCTGCTGCTGCCATAACCAGTGCTAAGTATCCCGTGTTACTCTCGTTCACAGTCCGCTCGAACCGTGCCAGTGTCGTTTCAGGAACGCTCCCTGTATCCGTCCAGCTTCGCAGCTCCACTCGTTTCCCTTTGTTATAGATGCACGTTTTCCGGTTGACCCAGTCGATCTCGGGGTTGAACCGCTTCAGAAAATCTTGCCCCAAGATGAAATCTAATCCCTTTATGTTCGTGATCGGCAACGTCGGCTTCCACCTCAACGCCCCTATCTGCAGCTGCAGTGTTGACTTGCCGTGGATGGGAAGCTTTGTACCGTCCACCATCGTTGCTGTAAACTGGGTTTCTTCTGAGGATTCTCCAATTTTCTCCAACGTCCCGCGGTCGCACACCAAGTGGGACGCACCATTGTCCACCAGGGCCTGGATGCGACGCCCGTTGCAGATCACCTCGAGTACTAGTGGTTGCTGCTGCTCCGAGTATCCGTAGATGGTATCGCTTAAAGGATCGTAGGGTACGTCGAATATGTTATCCCTAGGTCCTACGCTCGAAGATGCAGCTTCAGTATCAGTTTTCAACTGAGAAAGATTAGAAGGATTTATCCGAGGCCGATTCGGCTTCTCTTGGGCCTGGAACCTTCCACTAAGCCTTTGCAGCTGTCTAGGCTTCATCTGTGGGGAACAGGGAGCCTTTAAACAGTGCTGCTGGTGTGAAACAAGTAAACAGGAATGGAATGACTAAGGAAAGATTGGGTACAAATACAACCCTAGAAACCCTGTACCCCATATGTGCTACCCCACTATAGCCTACAGCAAATATGTCATATAAATCTGACACACCCCCATAGGCAAAGTGGGGGAGAGCAAGGGGTCACAAGACCAGTCAAGTAAAGCAAAGCAGAGCAAACTCAGGGTGGATCACAACGTTACCACACAGTCCGAGCACAAGAGCAGGGCCAGAGGCCAGTTCACATGCAGGAGTACAGACATATATATATAAAACTAGACAAGCAAGAGCAGGTATATATATGTCACAGTACAAGTGAGGCAAGACAGGCACAAGACCCAGCTGGGTGCAGAGGCGCTGATGGTCACAAGGCGAGAGTGCCTTGGTGAACACATCAGCAGTGTTGGCCTCAGAGGCCACGTACGCAAGCCGCAACTGTCCACGCTGCTGCAGCTCACGAGCAAGGAAGTAGCGAAGAGCAATGTGCTTAGTTCTGTGCTCCAGACGCTGCTCTCGACACAAGGCCAGCACGACCTTGTTGTCTACGTACAGCACTGGAGGAGAACGAGGCGGCTCTCCAAGGTCAGTCAGCAGGTAGGTGAGCCAGCGAAGCTCCTGTGCAGCCATGGCCCCAGCGTAGATCTCAGCCTCACAACTGGAGCTGAGAACCGAAGACGAGCGAGTAGCCCGCCAAGAGACAGAGCTGGAACCAAGACTGAAGGTGTAACCCTGTGACGACCGCTGCGTAGCCTGGTCGTCAGCCCAAGAAGCGTCCGCGTGCCCTGTAAGGACCACTAGACTGCGCCCTCCAAGCACTAGCCCCATGCCCGACGTACTGCACAGGTAGCGCAACACCCTCTTCGCTGCAGCCATGTGCTCTGGTCGGTGTCTCCCAGGAGCAACATAGCGTGCAAGAATGCTCAGAGGGTATGCAAGGTCAGGTCGTGTGCAGGTCATCAGGTACATGAGGCAGCCAACAAGCTCTGGGTACGGGCCACTCGACTCTACGGACTCATCCGAAGGCAGAGCTGAGAGCGAGTGGCGAGTAGACAAAGGAGTGGCCTGAGGCGAGGAGTACGTGAAGCCGAAGCGCTGAAGGACCTGCTGCACCATGTGTGACTGAGTCAAGGTAATGGTGCGGCGTGCTCTGTCCCGAGTGATCTGCAAGCCAAGGTAGCTGCGCAGTTCACCCAGGTCTGTGCACGTGTGTCTCTTCAGCAGCTCGGACTTCACGTAGGCGAGTCCAGCAGTGTCCGCTGTGGCAAAGACCAAGTCGTCGACGTACACGAGGATGTAGAACGGCGGCAGAGAAGTGTCGGTGCGCAGAAACAGCGACGGGTCAGCAGTAGAAGGAGCAAACCCAAGAGCCGCAAGCGTAGTCCTCAGTGTGTCGTGCCACTCACGCGGTGCCTGGCGGAGACCGTAGACTGGCCGTCGGAGGCTCCACTGGGTGCCAGGAGGGAAAGTCCCAGTGAAGCCAGGTGGACGGCGCAGCCAGATCTCCTCCTGCAGGCTACCCTGCAGGAACGCAGTGCTGAAGTCGAGAGAGTGAAGCTCGTAGTCGCGCTGAGCGGCTATGTGCAGCAGCAACCGAAGAGTGGTCATCTTCGGGGTGGGAGAGAAGGTCCGAAAGTAGTCAACTCCCTGCCGCTGACTGAAGCCACGAGCAACGTACCGCGCCTTGAAGACAGGTGGAGAGCCCGGCGGCCGCTTCACCCTGAAGATCCACATGCCACTGACGATGTTCGCCCCAGGAGCGGGAACTGCGTCAACGTAGGTGCCCGTGGACTTCCAGGAAGCCATCTCTGCATCCATAGCTGCCTGACACTGAGACGAGTAGGGACCCTCTACGGCCTCCGCGTAAGAGCGCGGAGTCGGGATGTCTAGTGCATCCGGGTCTCCCTCAGGAGCAAGCAGTACAGACGCAAGATGAGGTGAAGCAGCAGCCAAACACTGTAACTCCTCCTGCATGTCCTCTAGGACGTCCGTGCCAAGAGCACACTCACCCCCGACGGACGGAGGACAGACAGACGCAGACTCAGCAACAAGACTAGCAGCGTAGTCTAGACGACAGCGAGCAGCAAAGTCGACGAGCTCAGTGACAAGAGCAGACGCAGCAGTGGACTCAAACGAGGGGTCAGTGACGACAGTAGCAAGCAGACGCGTGACAGTAGGACTGGCAGCACGAAGAGAGTCCGACTCCGGGTCGGCAAGGGCAGGAAGAGAGGACTCAGGAGGAGAAGGCAAAGGGGCACGCAGAGGAGCAGTGGACGGACGCAGAGACATCCGGTGCGTGCCAGGGACAGGAGGAGGACGCTGACGCGAACCGCGACCACTAGTGCGAGCAGCACGAACAGGCGACGCAGGACGAGACGCAGGCTCACGACGCTCAGCAAGACCTCCAGTAGGACCAGTGTAAGGAGAGGGAGCAGGCAGTGGAGAGGAAGGCTCCAACAGTGACTGTGACTGTGAGGAAGGCTGTGAACACTCTACCGAAGGAGAAAGACCAAGAACCTGCTGCAGGAGCGGAACGAAGTACGGTCGAGGCCGCGCGGCAGCTCCAGACTCAGCAGGGACAGCACCAGCACCCTCAGCGACAGCACCAGCGCCACCAACACCTCCAGCGGCAGGACCTCCAGCAGCACCAGTAGCAGAACCACCGCCGGGACAGACAGCAGGAGTCTCAGCACCAACACCCTCAGGAGCTCCTGCTCCAGGAGTACCCGCAGACCCAGCAGCTCCGGGACCGGCAGCACCAGCACCCTCGACGGTCGAAGAAGCTCCAGCTCCAGCAGCACGCCTCCAGCGGCGAGCAAACCACTCGCGCAGCTCCTGTGGAGAGAGGGGCTCCCGGCGAGACGCAGCAGCAGGAGAAACCCCAGGCTCAACAGCTCCAGACGTAGCACCCCCAGGCTCAGCAGCTCCAGACTCAGTACCCCAAGGCTCAGCAGCTCCCGACCCAGCACCCCCAGACCCAGCACCCCCTAGCTCAGCAGCTCAAAGCACCGTACCCCCCGGCTCAGCACCCCCAGGCTCCGCACCCTCCGCAGTAGCACTCCCAGGCCCAGCACCCCCAGTAGCAGCACCTCCAGGCTCGGCACCCCCGCGCACAGCACCCCCAGAGTCAGCACCCCCAGGCTCAGCACCCGCAGCAGCACCAGAGTCACCAGTAACCTCGACCGGGTCAACTGCGTCTACCTGGGACACACCTGAGGGGGCAGGAACCTGAGGGGGGAGGGGGTCTACCGGGGGGGGAACTGGCACAAGGAAGTCCGGCGGAGGGGGGAGGGAAGGAGTGCGGTAGGGGAAGAGGCGGTAGAAGGGGACTGACTCGTCGAACGTGACGTCCTGGGAGGACAGAACACGACGAGAGGAGGGGTGGTAAAACTGCCACCCGGGAGCGTCTGTGGGGAAGCCAAGGAAGACACAGGGAGCAGCACGAGGGGACAGCTTGTCCGCAGACAAGTCGCGGACAAACGCCCGAGATCCCCAGACACGGAACGCCGACGCATCGCCAACCTTCCCCGTCCACAGCAAAGCTGGGGAGGTCTCCGGTCTGGAGACCCTGGGCTGAAGGTTGATCTGATGTGCGGCGTACCGAACCGCAAACGGCCACAGAAAATGGGGGGCAGCCGCATGCACCATGGACGTACGGGCGACGTCCATGACAATGCCGATGCGGCGCTCAGCAATCCCATTCTGCTGTGGAGAGTCCGGAAGCGTGAAGGTCTGGCGGATGCCTCGTGCCCGACAGTAGGCTCGCAGAAGGCCGGAGGAGAACTCTCCGCCTCTGTCCGAGTGCAGACGCAAAACAGGAAAGTCCGAGCCGAAGCTCCGCCTGAGCTGGAGACGAGCTGCGCGGATCCAGTCGATCAACACCTCAGTGACCTCACCCTTGCTGCGCAAGGGGAAGACTGTGGTGTAACGCGAGTAGTCGTCAACCACCAGCAGGAAGTAGCGCTCGTGACCCTGTCCACGGACGCGGGCTGGGCCCCACACGTCCATGTGAAGCGTCTGCATCGGGGCCTCCGTCGGAGGGAACGGGGAGGAGTGAGGGGTAGCCCGCAGGCGACCCTCGACACAGGGGACACAGGGAGGGCCAGGCCCCGGAGGAAGGGGAGGGAGGGACCGGGGAAGGCCAGAGACAAGAAGGCGAGAGGCCATGCCCCGGAGACGAGGCAGGGAGGGGTGACCCATCCTGTGGTGCCACAGTAGGGTCTCGTGGGACAGGAGGCGACACGAGCAGGGGGCAGACTCAGGACCAGACCTGGACGCTGCAGCAAACACCTGACCCGACGCAGCTACCTGACCAGACGCAGGAGAAGGAGACGGAACAGTGAGTGTGTACAGGCTCGACCCTAGACCACGTGTGAATGTGGTCAGGTGTCGACCCGTGTCCGCGTCCGTGCAGTGGGTGACTCGTCGGCGCGCAGGGGTGAACTGGTCAACCCCTGCATCCTGTAGTTCAGCACCCGCCACCAAGTTCGTAGAGAACGAGGGGAGGTAGAGACCGGACAGGGCGCCAGACGGGACCGCAGGGCACGGCAGGACAGTGGAGTAGCGAGCCAGAACAGGACCCCCAGAGGGGTCTGCCAAGGAGACCGCCACTGGCCGACTAAGCGGCGTGAGTGTGGTGCGGTCTCGAAAGAAGGAGCGAGACGCCCCGGAGTCAAGAGTGAAAGTGAGAGAGGGTGAAGTCGACACAGTACCTGAGAGAGCAGACTCACCAGCACCTGAGGACTCAGACTCACTGGCACCTAGAGCAACAGCCTTACCAGCACCTGGAGCAGCAGCCTCAACAGCACCTAGAGCCGCAGTACCAATGCCCGGGTCGGGCGGGAAACACCGGTAACAGTCACCCTCCTCACTAATAGTCACAGCATACATAGCAGCAAGAATAGCATCAAAGTCAAGATCAAAGATAGCTACTCCAGCCCTAGACAGCTGGTCCCAGCGAGGGATCTCAGAGGCGTCAGGAAACTGGCGGCGCCAAGCGTCAGTCAGGCGGCCGAAGCAACGCTGGGCGGAGTGTGGACCACCACACTGCTCACCCGCACGGTCGCCAGTGCGCAGGACGTAAGTGCACGGACCAGTACCCCCACCCCGCTGACGCGCAGAGTACCACTCATGGAGCTGCTGCGGGGAGAGGGGCTCCTGACCACGCTGCTGCTGCTGGCGCTGACCACTACCGGAGCCACTCCTCCTCGGCGCGCCACGACCTCCGCCGCCTTCTCCGCCGCCGCCGCCACCACCTCCACCGCCACCGCCACTCCCACCGTCGCCGCCGCCACCGCCGCCTCCGCCTCCACCCCCACTACCACCGCCGCTGCCGCCCCCGCCTCCACTGCCTCCGCCGACACCTCCACTCCCGCCACTACTCCCGCTACCACCCTCACCTCCGCCGCTGCCTCTACCTCCGCCTCCACCGCCCCCGCCGCCTACACCACCGCCCCTGCCCCCCTTGCTCTTGCCAGAGCGACGTCTCCCGCTGGGGGCAGACGCCGCTCCGACCGACTCAAAACCAACAAGGTCGGCCGTAGCAACAGAGGCGACAGAGGGCAGGAGGGGGGAGGGGGAACACCCCTCAAAGATGGGGGTGCGCGGGTCACCACGAGAGGCCCCTACAGCGAGAATGCTCTTCTCGGCTGCTAGGAGGGACTTCTCGAGGATCTCGACAGTGAGAGTGGTGGGGCAGACTGCGAGTAGGTCGTCCCTGACTCCGCGAAGGGAGTCAGGGAGGCGGGTGACAATGTAGTAGAGAGTGAAGTACTGGGGGGGGGGGTTCTTGGCGCAGAACTCAGCAGGAAGTGCAGCGCGGAAGCGAGCGTCACTAGTGCGCAGGTGGGTAATGAGGTCGGCTACTGTGGCAAAAGCAGCAAGGTCGGGAAAGAGGTACGGTAGCATGAGGCGGCTCAGTGCAGCAGTGGCAGGGGTGGAGTAGCGTGCAATAACGGCGTCGTACAAGGTCTTAGCACTCTTGTACGACCCAAAGTGCGCACGCTCAGCGGGAGGGAGGTGGCGACGCACAGCAAGACGTGCAGCAGCATCGCGTGTGGCCCACTGTGAGCGAACAGTGGCATCCTCAGTAGCAGCAGGGGCGGGAGAGGCACCAGAAGTGAGATCAAAGAGAGAGAGTCCGTCAGCTCTGTCGCACTGTAGGAAAAGCAGTAGGTCGTCTACCCACACGTCAAAGTCAATGGCTCTGCCCTCAGCGTCAAAGGCGAGGACACTGGGGGTAGCCATGACAGCAGTAGAGAGAGGGCAGTGCGCAGAGTAAGGCTCAGTGCTCACCAGACAGGGCAGTGCAGGGAGGGCTCGGGCGGCTCGGGCGGCTCGACTGCTGGGCGGCTCGGGCGACTCGGCGGCTCGGGCGGCTCGGGCGGCTCGGGCGGCTCGGGCGGCTCGGGCGGCTCGGGCGACTCGGCGGCTCGGGCGGCTCGGGCGGCACTGCAGCTGGGGCGGCTCGGCTGCTGGGGCGGCTCGGATGTTGGGGCGGCTCGGCGGCTGGGGCGGCTCGGCTGCTGGGGCGGCTCTGCTGCTGGGGCGGCTCGGCCGGGAGATGCAGGGGCGGGGCCGTCAGGTGCAGCGGCGGGCCGGCAGGTGCAGCGGCGGGTCGACCGGTGCAGCGGCGGGCCGGCAGGTGCAGCGGCGGGGCCGTAGGGTGCAGAGGCGGGCCGGCAGGTGCAGCGGCGGTGCCGTCAGGTGAGGCGGCGGGCGGTAGGGTGCAGCGGCGGGCCGTAGGGTGCAGTGGCGGGCCGGCAGGTGCAGCGGCGGGGCCGTCAGGTGAAGCGGCCGGGCCGTAGGGTGCAGCGGCGGGCCGGCAGGTGCAGCGGCGGGGCCGTCAGGTGAAGCGGCGGGCCGCTGGGTGCAGTGGCGGGCCGTAGGGTGCAGCTGCGGGCTGGCAGGTGCAGCGGCTGGGCCGTCAGGTGAAGCGGCGGGCCGCTGGGTGCAGCGGCGGGCCGTAGGGTGCAGCGGCGGGCCGGCAGGTGTAGCGGCGGGGCCGTCAGGTGAGGCGGTGGGCCGTAGGGTGCAGCGGCGGGCCGTAGGGTGCAGTGGCGGGCCGGCAGGTGCAGCGGCGGGGCCGTCAGGTGCAGCGGCGGGCCGGCAGGGCCGCGTCAGAGCCGGCGGCGGGGCCGCGTCAGTGGAGGCGGCGGGGCCGCGTCAAGCAGGCGGCGGGGCCGCGATCAGGAGGGGTGGCGGGGCCGCGTCTGAGGGACAGCGGGGCCGCGAGGGAAATGGCGACCCGAGGGGTCGCTAAAAAAATGCGCGCCTCGCGGCGCGCTTCGGTGGGCCCTAAAAAAAACGGTCCTTAGGAAGGACCCGCTCTATACCATGTGAAACAAGTAAACAGGAATGGAATGACTAAGGAAAGATTGGGTACAAATACAACCCTAGAAACCCTGTACCCCATATGTGCTACCCCACTATAGCCTACAGCAAATATGTCATATAAATCTGACAGCTGGGAGAGAATATTAACTCCTCGGAACGCTCGACCCGTATTAGCGCTCTGGAGTAGGGTCCCCATAATACCCAGTACCGGTTTAATTTCTGACTCTCCCTTAATAAAGGCTTGAAACCCACGAGAAGTAATATTCTTACTTGTCGGGGTATACGGCTGGAGTTTCCCGGTCGGTGCAGGGTCTTGTTTCGCGGATCCTCCATCAGTCTCGGCGATTTCCCCTGGTGCCGGCTGGTCGTGACGTTTTAAATTTGCGCCACCATATTCTCCTTTTTTCGCCCTCTCCAAAGTTGCCACGTTGTCCGTTTTGTGCTTCGGGGGTGCCGCACTGTTCTTGTCCTTCAGCTCCGCACACCTTCTCTTCATTTTCCAACACGCCAAGATACGATGTCCTGTAGCGCCGCAAAATTTGCACGTCTCATTTTTTGCTAGCCGCTGCTCCACATCGCCCTCGTCGTTCTCCATCGGGTCGGCAGTCGTGGGTGGTGCCAATCGCCCCATGCCACTAGTTGGCTTGTTGCATCGTGTTCCGTAGTAGCTACTGTTCAACGTGTCGAACTGTTCGATCAGTGCTGCCGGAAACTGCGCCCACGTCCCCTCGCCTTGGACTATTCTGTTGTTGATCCACTCTAGAGCTGGGCCTCGTAACAGTGTTGCTGCGAGCCGTATGCGCATTGCGTCTTTTGTTGGGGTCGTGCATCTAACGGCTTCGAAGTAAATTTCGAGTTCAGCTACAAATCGACGAACGTCGTTCCTTTTTACTGTAGGATCGAACGCCTCCGGTAGCCTCGGCTTCACTGCTTCGAGGTTAACTGTAGCTGCTGCCATTGTCGCATGTAGAATTGTCGGTGTAGCCGCTGCTGCTGCTGCTGCTATTGTTGTCGCTGCTGCTGTGGCGGTTGCCGACTGGTTCGCAAGGAGTTTTTCGAGTCGTGGGAGCGCCGCATGTATTTGCTTATGCTCAGCACGTAACTCCGCGATTTTCTGTACTGAAATATCTCCTTTTCCCTCCATTTGGCAATTTACAGGAAGATGCGCGACAAAAATAATCGAATTTTAGGTGCTAGTCGACTTACTGCAAGTCAAGTTGACTATAGGATTGACGAGCGCAAATTTTGTAGGTCACGTAAATCTCCCTTGAGCGAAATTCGCGTCCGATCTTGGCCGTTGAGGATAAAATCAATCCGACGCTCCAAATTCTAACGTTTTTAGGAGAAATAATCTGGGCCGTTGAGATGAAACTCGATCGAACGGTCGAAACTCCAACCTTTCCACCGGTAAATCTGAGGGGTGTTCGAAAACCGAATCGAGGGGGACTTAGAAAAATTGCGCGGAACTGGTTTTACATACCCGTATCGGCGCTTTCGTCGTCGCCCCCGCGGTTTTTAAAGGCCGGAACTAAGCAGTTGAAGACCTCGCGTGAAAACCCGCTCTGATTACCAAGTGTGAGGATCTAGGATCGAGCTTAGAAAAGAGAATGTGAATTGAATTGAATCACCTGGGTACAACACGAGGCTATATATAGGCTCGACACAAGGCCCCGTAACCAGGTGTTACGCGAAGGTTCCGCGGGCCGCGTAGCGTCCAGAACAGATCCTTACCAAATTCGGTAGAAGGCAATTCGGTGGCAACCGAAAAGCCAGAATTTGGAGCACGCAACCTAGCTCGGTGCTATAACTATAATAAAATATAGGAAAGCACC